TGCATTTCCTCTGTTCTCAGTGGGGAATCTTTGGAGTCGCTTGTCCGTCTGTGTGTGGGCTGGTTCACTGTCTCTCACTCACTCTCTGGTCCCAGACAAGAGCCCTGGTTTCTGTCAGGTGTGCTCCCGAACAGAGGCCCCCAGTCAAAGCTTGGCTTTTACTCTGTTGTTGGTGATTTCGATAAACAGGAGTTCTTGCTTTAGATGCAGCCTGATTATTAAATCTTTTCCTTTATCATTCATGTTCTTTGTCTTTTAAGAAATCTGCCCTTGCCTCAGTTCCTAAAACAGCATTCTTCCATCCCAGGGGCCTGCTGGCTGTTTTGGTAAAGGCCCAGAGAGTAAATATTTTGGTTTGGTGTAGTGCAGAAGCGGCTGTGGCTGGGTGCCAATAAAGTTTTATTGATCAAAGCAAGTGGTGGGACATGGCTACAGTTTTCCCTGTTTTCGATTCTAACTGCTTTAGAGCATTGCTCTTACATTGAGATGTGTGTCTGTATTATGTGAAATTATGCATGTATTATGTGAAATTGATTCCAACTCATAGCGACCCTATAGGACAGAGTGGGACTTCCCCGATGGTTTTCAGAAACTGTAAGTCTTCATGGGAGTCAAAAGACTCATCTTTCTCCCTCAGAGTGGCTGATGGCTTCACACTGCTGGCCTTCCGACAGCAGCCCCATGTGTGACCCCCCTATGCCACCAGGGCTCCTTCAGTCACGTGAAGTAGGGATCCAAGGATCGTTTTCTTTAAAGAAGTGAGTTTCAGTGAAGGGGGAGTGGCTGGGTGGGCGGTCTGTTCCCCAGGGCCATTTGGTAATATTTGGAGACAGTTTGATGGCCACAAGTATGCGGAGGCGTGGAGAGGGGAAGGGGGCATTTGCTACTGGCCAGACACTGCTAAACATGCTACAGTGCCCAGGACAGCCCACATACCCACAACAGATTGCCTCCATCACACCCTTACTGGAGCAGGGGGGTGAGGGGGTGAAGAAGAAACAATCATGTCGCTTCCCTTAAATTAAGCATAAAAATCAACTCAGCCCATAAAAGGGTCAGCAGTAGAATTCATCGTGTGGCTCAGCCCTCTCTGCACCCCAGGCTCTGCCTGGGATCAGAGGTTCACTAGAAGTCCAAACTGGCAGGCTCATCTGGCTCCTAACAACTTCTTACTCCTTCTTGGCGCTCAGTAGAACAGCCCTGCTGGCGCCTGCTGGCAGTCCCAAGAAACCATACCAGGAACAAGAGGCGTGCCTACCTCACCACAGGGCAGAAGGGGCATCCAGAGGCAGCTGCTGAACACGCCCTGGGGTTCTGGCCTTTGCACTTTGTTTCTGCAGGGACCCAAGGGTGATCCGGGCCCCACAGCTCACTCTGTCCTTCTCTGCTCCTGGCCATCTTGGCTTCTCAGGAGAACCGAGGTTGGCCAACAACAGGCCTCCGGCCAAGCAGAGGAACATTCCATGAGAATGTTTCAGTCTCTCCTCCAGAGTGCAGAGGAACCGCGGAGGGAAATGCTGCTCCGGGGACTTTGTTTGGGGGCGAAGTTGAGCAATGGGTCTAGACCTCAGCTCACCTTGGGCTTCAGGAGGAGCACCAAGTGGGCAGCGCAGAGTTGTTGGCCCTCTAGAGGCCAGTGGAGGAACTGCACATGCTATGCTCGGCGGCCTGGGAGGAAAGGCCCCCATCGTGGGTTGGGTGAGGTCTCCTGGTTAGTGAACAGGTGCATCCGTGCCTTCCCATTCTCCTGATTATCCCAGGAATCAGCTACCTGTCTGGGTGGGCAGTTGGTTTCAGGACCAGGTGCAGTGCAACTTTTTGGAAAAGAGAGACTCCCTCAGAACAAGTCACAATGCTATTAGACGAGATCGGGTGGAAAATCAGTCACACCCACACACGACAGGGGCATGAAGGAAACCGGGCAGCACCGTGGTTACAGTTCCTGGCTGCTTACTCAAAGCTTGGCAGTTCTACCCCTACTGGCCGCTCTGTAGGAGGACAGACCTGTGAAGATTACAGCATGGGGAACGAAGGGGGCAGCTCTCCTCTGTGCTACAGGGTCGCTATAGTCTGGATCAACTTGTTGGCACACAATCAGGACCTTGGGCAGAGGTGGATCCCCACAAAGAGGAGTGAGCTGCTCAGGGACTTGCTGGATGCTTGCTGTCAGAGGCCAAGGACTTCTGTTTGGCGGTCTTTCTTTCAAGTGCCAGGAGGGGAGACAATCAGAGAAGAGCACTGGGAGAGCCATCAGACTGCTCTCTGGAGCCTTCAGTCAGCAGAACTTCCGCTAAGAGTGCTGCCAAGCTCCAGAAGCAACAAACAAAGGAATGCACAGATCAAAGGCTGAGCAAGCTGCCTCCTGCCTCCAGAGCCGGGTGCAGATGTGGTCAGAGGTCACAGCCCGAGGAGTCCAAGAAGTAGATTCAGGTCAACGCAAGCCCTGGGGTCTCAAAGGCAAGTGTGCCAAGAACCCCTCCTGATTGCTGGGGGGACAGAGACTCCAGGTGTGACTAAACTCAAGCTACTCCTCATAGCAGTGGGGGTAGTGTGTGGGGGCACTCAGGGGTGCCAGGTTTCAGCGGCAGTTCTGCCATCCCCACATGTCCTTGGGCAAGCTGTCGTTTGGTTTCTGTGATTACCAGGGAGCCAGGCCTGGGGATGTACTTCCAAAACTCAGCCAGTGAAAACCTGAGAGGTCACCACAGACCCAGCTATATCTGAGGATAGGGAAGAAGCGGCAGGGCTGGGCCGGGCCTCGGTAGGTGCGGCTGTGAGCGAGAAGCCCTGGTGGCCCAATGGGTACACGTTAGGCTGCGAACCGCAAGGTCAGCAGTTTGAAACTACCAAGCACTTGGTGTGAGAAAGACGAGGCTTTCTACTCCCGTAGGCATTCCAGTCTCAGAAACCCACAGGGGCAGTTCTACGCAGCCCTAGAGGATTGTGGTGAATCGGATTTGACTCGCAGGCAGTGAGTGAGTGAGGGAGTGAGAGTGAGAGTGAGAGAGAGAGCGAGAGGGCATGAGGGCGCGAGAGAGCGAGGGATCCAGAGAGCGAGGGAGTGTGAGAGTGAGAGTGTGAGTGCGTGAGAGCGGGCGAGGTGAGAGGGTAAGAGAGTGAGAAGGAGAGAGAGAGTCTGA